GTTGGAGACCATCCGCACCACTCGGCGCATCCGTCTGCGGGTGCTGCCGGAACTTCCACGACTTGCTGCCCAGAGCAGCGGTAGCAGGATGGCGTGTACTGCATGGACGAGATTGGCACCCATTGGCACCAATTCGCACACGCCGGGATGTCGCCTGGAGTAACTGCAGAGCCTGCATATCCTTGGCAATCTGGCACATACTGCAAGCTTCCAAACGGCACGGTGCTGCACCAGTTCGGATATCCTGTTGCTGCCTTGGTCTTCAGACCCGTCTTCTCTGGCGCTCTGTCATCTGTCGCATTGGCGATGGCCGCACGAGGCACCAACAGCAGAAGCAACACTGCTCGGCACGTCATGATAGAGCTTTGTCGAGACACAGACACACAAGTCAAATCGCTTCACTTCTTGATCCAACATGTGCGCAGTAGCCAGATCACGAAACACTGGGAGGCCCTTGCTGGCATGTGGTCAACTGTCGAACATGTGTGAAAGAGAAAGCGCATGAGCACGAACACGTCTTGGGAGAGTTCTCCGATCGGCCTCTATGCGTCATTGCAGGCAGAAGCTCGTCACAAGTGCCACTGTTCTCAACACTATCACTATCGGATATCGTCAAGCCGCCGAAACTAAAACCAAGGAAACGCCCGACTGCAAGCGCCAGCTATAGGCCGCATCTCTGATGTCAGAAACGAATGGGTGCGGGACGTTGAACTGCGAAGCTCCTTCTCTGGCCTCCTGTCGGCAGTTGGGGGGGCAAGTGGGACTCCCCACTGCGCTCGCTGCAATTGTGGACTGGCCTGCCCCCCGCGCTGGCCAGGGATGTCGGGCCTCGGTCTGGAGATGTCTGGAGGCTCGAGGCACCCTGTCCGTGTCATCAGCTTCTCTGGGCGAGAGGCGATTCGGCAAGAGCCCGAAGCAGCTCCTTGACAGGTGGCTCCTGCAGTGCTCCCCCTCTTGGATAAAATGCAACGTAGAACCATGTCCTGACCAAAAGCACTCATTCCCTGGCCCTGAAAACCCAAAGCCCTGAAACCTGGGAGCTCCTCTCCCTTGCTTAAGCCCTACACCCCGAAACGAGGCCCCCAAGTCCCTCAAAGGGTCTCGCTCCTGGGCCCCTGCAGCCTCCAAGGCGGCACAACCGTGGGCGGCCGCCTTGGCGTTCAGGGCTTCTTTCAAGGCTTCTTTGAGAGCTTTTGGGGTCTAGGCGATGCTTTGGTGGCTTGGGTTTGGGTGTCGAAGGTTTAGGTACTCAGGGCGTTTTGGGCTTCTTGGGCCTCAAGGGTTTAAAAGCTTTGTGGCAGACTGGGGTTTGGAGGAGGTAATATAAATGTGGTTTGATCATGTTTGATCCACGCGAATCACACGCTTGCGCCAGCCACCCGAACTATTCCCAGCAATTGCCCTTCACAGGAATCAATCGGGCTTCATCGGCCAGCTCCCACAACTGCGGTAAACGCCAAGAAAAGCCATCTAGCCTTTCGGCGGATAGCTTCAGCGGGCGTCGGGTTTGTGAACTTCTGTCAAGGGGTACTGTTTGACTCAAGACTTTACTTTACTCTGTTGGGGATTCTTTGTTGGTTGTTAACGGCAGCGGTAGCAGCAGCAGCCCCCAGAATGCTAGCAAAGGCCATCAGACAGGCCGGGACGACTGCATCAAGAAGGGACTTTTCCCAAATACTACTCAAGTTTGGAGGCCTCCACGGGAGATCGTGGCCGTGATTGCGAGCACTATGGCTTATAAAGGGATCATTACTCATTCGATTGTTCAAGCGGATTCGGGTCTGTAGCGTGGCTTCGACTTCAGCTTCAGGGCTCGGGGACCTCGGGGTTGACGAGTGCCTGAGTTTTGAAAGAGCTCAGGGCTTCTCAGACTTGGAAAGGTTTGCACATAAGTCAGAAGGCTTCTGAGGTCAGGATTTCGGGATCTTCAGGGAGTGTTTCTGACAGCGAAAGCGAAGAGACTGTTTGCACTGTCCGACTGCTCAATGAGGTGAGGGCGATGGCCAATTCGAAGGGCATTGCGTAGTCTGGCAAGCCTCAGAGCTGCCCCAAACAACTCGTTTTCGAGGAGTCGTTAGCAGAACTCATGATCTAAGCCGCGTGCGGCCAAGGCGGACGACTCCAGCGATGAAGAGCGAGTAGCTCTGCAGTATCGAGGCGCAAGCTGCATCGATCTCCTGACTTCAGGACTCAGGACCCACCGCGAGGCCCCATCACCCATGCCGGAAGGGCCCAGTCTATCGACTCTGTTCCAGCACCTTTCCTGTGACAGGGGCGTTCCATCCGAAGCTGTTTGGATGCGCATGCGCTGGAGCAGCGAGGGCACCATCGACCTGCGACCGTCAGAGCTGCTAGAGGATCTCAAGCCAACACCGATGCTGTCTGGACCTGCCACGAAAGACCTCTGGATTCAGAGCCGCGGGTGCCTGGGTCTTGCTGTCCCGGCATGCATGAGTGGTGTAGCCAGGGAGGCAAGGACCTGACTCACACACGCAGCCTCACGACAAGTGGCAAAGCTACTAGGACCCATGCGCTAGACCAAGTGCGTGCATCGCCGCCACGGCAAAGATGACAGACGCGACCTGCGATGAAAGCATGACAAAACGCGAGCCTCGCAGAACTGGCAGAAACACGCCGTTCGCTTCCACTGGATATATCGCTGTCATGTAGAGCTAGCACCCGCGCATCTCATGCCAACGCAACGTATGTCATCAAAGGACCAGCAACGTCGTCTCAGTACCCGGCGGACATCTGGCAATAGAGATGCTGCCATCGCATCCGCAGCTTCTTCATCTTCCGCTGCGCTGAGCCCTGGAGACTTTGGGCACGAACTAAGCTTGGACGCAGTTCACCGGTTGGAAGCTTCTGGGCCTGGGGTCCAGGGGCGTTCCATCAATTCCGCAGCGTGGGAGTCTCCGGCCTCCCAACCTCACATGCAGAATGTGCTGGAATGTGCTGGAATGTGCTGGAGTGCCAGCAAGTCGTCCGATCTACTAAGCATCGGGCGATCGATCAGCTCTCGCAATGTGACCACAGCCATGGGCTCTCTGAGAAATTTCGACGACACCAGCTGGTGATCAAAGCACGAGCTACCGCAAGGGAAAACGCTCGTAGCTGCGAGTTGCGATGCAGAAAGTCTGAGAAATTGCGCGGTTCTGGCTCTCGCCAGTCTCTACAGCACGGCGCAGCACGGCACAGCTCTTTCTGGCGGTCGTTCGAAGGGGCACCCGGGTCGGCGCTCAAGGAGCTCAGCTCTCATCCGCCTGAGGTGTGATTTGTTGAAGCGTGCCGGGTGGCACTCGCGTGCAAAACCCCCTTGTCATTTGCACTGCACTATCAGTTTCTGAATCACGATGCTCCAGTAAGTTGAGCCGCAGCGCTGTGACTCGGAGCTCAGCCGCGCACTTCCTCGAAAAAGTACCGACCCGATGACTCCTGCCAGAACCAACGCTGGCCTCCAGAGTTGCCAGAGTCGGGACAAGCGTCAGCAACGGTCTCGGCAGTGCCTTCTTCAGTGAAGAACATTTCCCAGCCGTCTTCCAGGTCATCTGCCCACAGAACCTGGCACAGCCACTGTCGGTGCATGCCTGGGATCCTTACCTTCCGATTCGCTGAACGGTCACCTGGAGAACCCTGCACCCTTTTCAGCGTCTGGAGCTCCCAGTTTCGGGTTTGTGCGTGTGCACCGGCCGCTCTACTCTAGCTCCTCCACTCTGGCTGGCTAACGTGCTGTCACATGCAACTCTGGCGCAGGAGGGAGGAGTGGTGCAAAGTCTGCTGGTGCCATGCATCACTGCTACAGGTATCCTAGTCCTAATCTCCACATCGCGAGCAGGAGGTCTCAGGAAGTGATCGCATCAAGCGAGAGACCAGCCACCTGATCGAGCAGGCGTTCTGTCGTCAACAGCATGTGATGTGCAACACGGACGGATGCAGAGGTGCAGAAACGCATGCGACAAGGAGCTAGCTGCCCTGATTTGCCATCAACTTCTTGTGCTCCTCGCAGAACGGGCAACCGGCATGATGTGGCCATGATTTTGGACGAGTGTGCGCAAAGATTTCTGTGAAACTCCTCCGGTGTCTTCAGCATGAGCGACAGCGCGTGCAGCCTGCCTGTATCAAGATCCTCGCCTTAGCTGGGGCAGTCAGGACGACTCATGCAGACTCACGCAGACATGCCTCGGCTCAGCTTGAAACAGAGGCCCTCGCGTAGGAGCGCTTGCACTTCGCGCTGGCGGTTCACTCGGGTCTTGCCTTTGAACGCCTGGCTAATTTCCAAGAGAGTATGAAATCCATCACCTTCCCATCCCAAACTCTTGCCTCGCTAACCATGACTATCGCCACCTGAAGGAGCTGGGCACGAGGCGTAAACAACAAGCCGCTGCCCGTACACGTGCCTTCAGAGCACCGCAAGAGTTACCTGAGAAGGCCATCGCAACGTCTAATTGTGCATCAGAAGCTCGCTGCACTTGCCGAATGGCTGATCGGTACAGTGCCACGAAGTCAGCTAAAAACTTATGATGCTGCAGCTTGTTCACAGTATCCGCCTCTGTTGCAGTGCCAAGCCACCTTGGTTCTCGATGTCCAGGTACCTGGGCAAGATGCGTGCAGGCTCATAATTATAAACGAAGAGCCATGTCGACTACCATAGGCAGTAGTGGTGTGGCGGCAATAGCATGAGTTGCAGTAGCAGCAGCAGCAGCAGCAGCAGCCTAGTGCTAGTGCTAGTGCTAGTGCTAGTGCTAGTGCTAGTGCTAGTGCTAGTGCTAGTGCTAGTGCTAGTGCTAGTGCTAGTGCTAGTGCTAGTGCTAGAGCTGGAGCTGGTGCTGGTGCTGGTGCTGGTGCTAGTGCTAGTGCTAGTGCGAGTGCGAGTGCGAGTGCTAGTGCTAGTGCTAGTGCTAGTGCTAGTGCTAGTGCTAGTGCTAGTGCTAGTGCTAGTGCTAGTGGTAGCGGCAGCAGCAGCAGCAGCAGCAGGAGTAGTAGTAGTAGTAGTAGTAGTAGTAGCAGCCGTCGTCGTCGTCGTCGTGGTCGTCGTGGTAGTGGTGGTCGTCGTGGTGGTGGTGGTGGTGGTGGTGGTGGGTCGTGGTGGTGGTGGTGCTGGCGGTGGTAGTAGTGGTGGTAGTAGTAGTTGTAGTAGTAGTAGTAGTAGCAGTAGTAGTAGTAGTAGGAGTAGTAGGAGTAGTAGTAGAACTACTACTACTACTACTA